AAATCCTTCTGTTCTGTTCCCAAACACCTAACATGAAGCTGTTTGTCTTTTATCTAAACCCAGGTAGGGATGGGTTTTGTCCTCAATTAAATCATTTCCTTAAATTTGCATACATCCCTCCTTTCAGAGAAGTCCAGGCCAGTGATGTGGAAGAATCCATTAATTTAACCCAGGATCAACTACTCTCCTTGTTTACACAGTTATCCTGGGAAGCCTTACTGTAAGCACATTGGACATGTTCCTGTGTGGTGGTTTTTTCTTAGAGCTGGTGCTTCCTGCTCCCTGTACACTCAGATCTCTCTCTCTCTAAAGATAAAATGGTGGGAAATTATTTACTTCTCAGTGGGCTCTTCTCTGTATCCAGAAATATACCCCAGGGTGCCTTCACATGGGAAGCTTCTCACCACTTCCCTCTTCATTCAGCATTCTGTTTAAAATGTGTCACTTATAACCATTTTGACCTTTATGGAGTTGTACAATTATATCACTAGTTGGTAATGAGGCCTATTTATTAAAAATACTTGATATGCTTCTCAAATTGTTGCAAAAATGGAAATTCTTCCCCCCTCCTTTGCTACATGATTTATTTTTGTATTGCTCTTACCAGCTTAATTTTGAATCTGGGAAAAGCAAAATGTCTAAGTAAACCTCTTGTAGCTTGATTCCTGTCTGCATCTGTAGACTATCTGTACGATAGTAATATCCAACACTTAGAGCTAGTTCACTTTACTCGTATTAATATATTTAATCCTCACAACTGAATGTGGCAGAGGCTATTATTTCCCCTCATTTTATGTATGAGAGTAGTGAGACTTGGAGAAGTCATTTGCCCAAGTCAGTTGCAAAACCCTGATTCATACCTAGGTGGTTTGGGCTAAATCAGATGATCTCTAAGTTTACTTTTGCTTTCAGTTTTCTGTGATTCTGAGCAGCGGTCTTCGTCTAATGAACAGTGGGAAGAACACGAAGATATCCTGTGGTTAATATTGGGCAGCACCTGTGTGTCTGAGGCAGCTTTGGGAGCATTTACCGGTAGAGGGGGTGTGCTGCTCTGTTCTCCTTTGCTGTTCCTCAGTGTACAGCAGCTAGGAAAGATGGCATTTTAATTTGTAAAACCTCTTCAGGATGCTAATGTTAGTGATGCCATTTTGTTGATGTAGAGAAAACAGGAGGCTCTCCCCCAACCCCACCTTATCTACTGGTTTTGTCTGGGGAAGAAGTCTAGATATAAGCATATAAAATGAAATGCAATTCTAGAAATCCTGTTGTTCTCCCCTTCATTTGTCAGATAGCCAGGTGACTCTGCTTGAGGTTGTCCCCAGCAAACTAGTGATTGCAGACAGGACTAGAAGGCTAGATTATTTTAGTCTAGGACTCTCTGAAACAGCACACCGCCTCCTTTTATAGACGTTTAATCTTTAACTTCCAGGCCTGTTTTGAAAGATTATGTATGTTACAGCTACTTATGTTTGTTCAAAATTTTTTTACTTTGAATCTACCTTTTGTTCTGTTGTATCCGGAATTAAGATTCTGGAGGCTTTTTTTAAACACAATGCTGCCACCCCCTGGTGATTAGGTAGTACTGCATTAGGAAATCCAATAGGCTTTCAACTGCCTTTGTATAATACTTGCCTCTGGTATTAGGAGTCATAAATCTAGATACAAATAAACCAGAGCAGTAAGTGTGTGTGTGTGTGTGTGTGTGTGTGTGTGTGTGTGTGTGAGTGATCATTAAGTGTGTGAGGGTCAGAAGTTAACATAGATATTAAACCTCAAAAGGTAGCCAGAATTGCTGGCTTGGTTCTGAAAAATAGACATTGTATGATTGCCAGTTAGGGTACCTTTAAGAGCTTATTTCTGTTGTCCCTCAGGTTTTCAGACATCTTAGATGTGTTAAAAAAAAATACATGGAAGTATAGATTTCAGAACATGGTTTCTAAGACTGCTAGTAGATCTGAATTCCTTTGAGCCCTGTTAAGTAGTTCATTACTGTGAGCATTGAGGCATCCATTAGTAGTTAAGGGACTGAATATCTCTCATCTCTTGAAAGAAACCATATTCTCATGAAGAAATAACTCCTGTGATTCTCAGCAAAGTTCCTGAAATTTTTCCGTGAAGCACTGGTTATGGTCACCTACTAACAGAAAACTGAGTTCCTACTCAGTTCCAGACACTTTTCCATCTTTCTCCTTCTTTCACTCATCTGTTAGGTAGGTTTCAGTATTCCTGTTTTACAGAAAAGGGGAGGCTCAGAATATCTTATTAACACGCCCACAGTCATGTAGTTAGGAGGTGGTGAAGATGGGGTTCGAACCCAACTTTTGACAGACTTTACCATGTTCTTACCTACATTCCATGTTCCCTTCTGGTAGTGCTTAAACCAGGCTTTGTTCTCACCATTCTGGTTTAGCTTTTCTTAAAAAAGAAACTGTTAGACCATTGGTTTTCAACCGGGGTGGGGGGAGTAATTTTTTCCCCTCAGGGAACATTTGGCAATGTGTGGAGACATTTTTTTGGTTGTCCCAATGAGGGAGGGGTGCCTCTGGCATTTAGTGGTTGGAGGCCAGGAATGATGCTAATAATCAAGCCGTGCACAGGATAGGCACCCACAACAGACTTATCTGGACCAAATGTCAGCAATGCTGAAGGTGAGAACCCTCATATGAGACAGTGTATTAACTTAGGCGAGTTTATTCTTTGAGTTACCTCCAAACAGCCTCTGCCCCTCCCCCTGGTTTGCCTCATCCTGGCCCTGCTGTTTATTGCTATGCCTTGGAGGGAAACTGTAGTCTTTTAGTTGCTTTCTCACCACCTGGTGTGCTGTCCCTCACTGCCTGTGTATTTGGTCAGCAATAGAGATAGAGGACCCCACCTGTCTGAAGAAAAACCCACTAAAGGCAGGATTCCGGTTCTTCTCCATACCATGCAGAACGTTTTCCTGTGCTACATGCAGATGGACTGGGGGGATGTCTAGTGCTTCCTCTCTCTTTTCTCTCTTTGTGTCTTCCTCAGGTCTCCTTTGCCTAGAAAGAATCCATTGAAATCCTTCCCATTTTTCCCCCCAGGTCGGATGTCACCTCCTTCATAATCCTCTGCAGGGAGTAATTGCTCTTGTGTATAAACTCTTGCATGTAACATTTATTCTTTTTATGTAACACTGATTCATCCTGATTTTCCCACCTTTAGTATAAACAGCATAGAATATAAAAGTGCAAAATGGAAAGAAAGTAAAAAGTACCATTATGTAGGTTTATTCTTTGTGTACAGTCTTTTATTCAAAGCAGTAATGATGCCTTGTTTTTGTTGGCCTATGTTTTTTCACAGTTAATTATAAAGTATGAACCCTGGTGTTGATGCTACTCACTTTGGAATAGCACTTCTTCACATTTGAGTTCATCAAGACTTTTGGCAGTTCTTTTATTTCTAGTAATTTAAATGGCTTAAGTATTTTAGTGAAGGTTTTTGTTGTTCGTTTTTTTTGGAAGCCTTTTTGGCCTTTTAGTGAAGACTATATACATACCTCTCATTTAAGCAGAAAGCATCTTTATTAAAGAAGACTCCTTTGACATATTTTAGACGTGGTCACCTCCTTCATAAACATGAGATGTGTCTTGAATTTTAGTTCTCATTCATTTCTGACTCACCTCCGACCTGTCGTGAGAAGGTAGACACTGCTAAGAGGAATGATACTGCATTCACCTTGGGGAGGTCTCTTAAGGCCCTCACCTGGGTTAGAAATTATTTTATGAGGCCCTGGGAAGCCTTAGTGCACTTGCCATGTTCAGCTGTCTCACAACCAGGTGTACAGAGACAGTCTCCCTCAGGCTATAGCCCCATAGCCTTCAAATAGAAAGGCAGTATTTCCTCCTTTATTCTTTTTTATCTTTAAATTTTTATTGTTATGTTAATCACCATACATTACCTCATTAGTTTTTGATGTAGTGTTCCATGATTCATTGTGCATAACACCCAGTGCTCCACACAGAACATGCCCTCTTTAATACCCATCACCAGGCTAACCCATCCCCCTACCCCCTCCCCTCTAGAACCCTCAGTTTGTTTTTCAGAGTCCATCGTCTCTCATGGTTCGTCTCCCCCTCTGATTTACTCCCCTTCATTCTTCCCCTCCTGCTATCTTCTTCTTTTTTTTTTTCTTAACAAATCTTGCATTATTTGTTTCAGAGGTACAGATCTGTGATTCAACAGTCTTGCACAATTCACAGCGCTCACCATAGCACAACCTCCTTTATTCTTTGAATGAACCAGGAGCCATGTTAACTTCTGGGGATAACATGGCTAAGTGTCCCACAACATTTAGGGGCCCCTGATCATCATAGAACTCTATTATTCATAAATATTTGTGGACAAGTTGTTCCATTCTCTGGAAATTTGAAGATAAATAAAATACGATCCCCTGCTCCATGGACGCTAGTACCTTCACCATTGCCCACATTCTCTATGTTAGTTTTCCTGTAGCAATTACTGCAAGTCAGGTGGCAAAACTGTAGAGGGGCTGTAGTTCAGTCTGGGAGATTGACACACCTTGGAGAGATGACTTTGTGCCAGGCCTGGCAGGGTAAGGTTTTTCTAACTTATTGCCCTTAATGGCCTTGACATTGTGCTGACACAATTTCTAAATATTTACCAAAATGATTAAGAATTTAGATAGAAGGATGTGTTCATGTAGTTTTGAATAGTTTATGCTAAATAACAATATTGAATGAATTAGTTAAACTGGGGAGATTTACAGGTTCAAGTTTGGTCTCCTTTGGTTTCTAGGAATAAATGTTTTGAGCAATAGGGTAAAAGGGTGTGATGGCTGGGATTAAAAACATCTTTGACCTCTTCGTTGCCTTATGTATTTTTGTGGTCCTGGTGATAATTGTGAGTCTCCCTCTCTGCCTCTCCACCTGTTTACAGGGGCTTTTGATCATGGGTATGGTATACAGCTGTGGGCACCCGAAACCCTGTTCCTAATGCTGTTAGATTTTCCTTTTCAGAGTAAGAGGGACCATCTACTCATGAACGTCAAATGGTACTACCGTCAGTCTGAAGTTCCAGATTCTGTGTACCAGCATTTGGTTCAGGATCGGCATAATGAAAATGGTAAATATGTCCTGGTTTGATTTTTACATTTTCTTAGCTTTGGACAAGGCTGTTTCTAAAGACGCTCATTAAATGGAGATGATAACCACTATGAAAAATTGTCTCTGAAGAAACTTTTTGTAACTAAGGACATTACTGAAATGTTTATTTATATACTTTTGCTGAGTTCTTTCATTATTTTTGCCTTAAAAAAAAAAATCCCAAACCACCAGAGAGATGTGCCAATAACATCTTCCCCTTAAACTTGGAATAGAGATAGGTCTTCTTTGGAAATAACAGCAATTTCATTTTTTAAATTACTTTTTCTCCCCTAATGATGAACTAATAATACTTAAAACACTAAGGTCATGTTTTATTTCTTTTTTCCTTTTCAATAATCTGTATGATTGCACTTCTGCGTTCAGGACTGTGAACTTCAGTTTTGAAAGCATGGCTTTCCTGAGTGGTTTGGGATTCAGTTTGCATCTTTTTTCTTTTTTTTTTAAGATTTTATTTATTTATTTGAGACATAGAGATAGAGAGAGGGAGCATGAGCAGGGGGAGAGGTAGAGGGAGAGGGAGAAGCGGGCTCCCCACTGAGCCAGGAGCCTGATGGGAGGCTTGATCCCAGGACTCTGGGATCATGACCCAAGCCGAAGGCAGATGCTTAACCATCTGAGCCACCCACGCGCCCCCAGTTTGCATCTTGACTTTCAGAATAATCAGGAAGGTAGTTCAGAGCATCTTTTTTTTCTTGCTCTGGCATTGTAGTTTCTACCCAGTAATTTTATTGACTCATGAGATATGCACATAAAATGTGTATTGCATTTGTTCCGATGTATAATTGTGCATTTTTATTGATTTTTTGAGTGGTGCTGGGCCTCATGCTAGCTGCTTCACATTTGTTATCCATTAGTCATATGAATTAGAGTTTGTCATTGCCCACTTTCAGGTGAGGAAATCGATACAGAAATGCTCAAGGAGTTGCCAGGTGGTATGTCTTCTAAGTGGTCCCCTCCAGCCGGGATCCAGTTTGGTCGGCCCCCTTCAGCTGGGGTCCAGTTTGGTTGGCCCTGGTGTCTGTACTCTTCCCACTGGTCCGTACTGCTTTTGGTGATAGGTTTTGAGTCAACAAAGCAGTAATCAAACACAGTTTTGAAGAATGATTTTTTTTTTTAAAGATTTATTAGTTTATTTATTTGAGAGAGTGAGAGAGCACAAGCAGGGGGAGTGGCAGAGGGAGATAGAGAAGCAGGCCTCCCGGTGAGCAGGCAGGTAGCCAGGACCATGACCTGAGCTGAAGGCAGATGCTTAACCGACTGAACCACTCAGGCACCCAAAGAATGATGTTCTTTTATAACTCACTAGTTTTTTCCTTCTTTGAAACTATAAAAATTTCTGTTAAAACAGTTAAATTATGGTTCCTAATTAAAAATAGTAACTTGGTTATTTTTTTTTTCAACAGAAACAGTGTGATTTCACTCTATCCTGGAATATATAGCAATAAGAAATTAAAATGGACAGGATCACTAAATATTTCAGTAGTTTATAAGTTTGTTAAAATATGATAGTTGTTTCCTCTTTTTTTCCCCTTCTTTTTTCATTAATTGCTTAATGCATTTCAGCAAAGTGTGGGGATTTAGTAAAAGGTGTAAAACATACCCAACAGGATACTTTGTTCCTGTTATTATTCCTCCTGACCAGACCTGGTTATTTATTGTACTTTCTTTAGTGGCAGGTGAACCTGAAAGAAAGATTTTGCAAAAATTTTCCTAATTGTTTTGGGAGGCTCAATTGTAATATCTTCTTAATTAATTATTTTGACAGACTCTGGAAGAGAACTTGTCATTACAGACCCAGTTATCAAGAACCGAGAGCTCTTCATTTCTGATTATGTTGACACATACCATGCTGCTGCCCTTAGGTAAGTGCCAGAGATATGGTCTTTCCTGCAAAGGAGCAGTCATCGAGCATAGGAGGTAGACAGTCTAAGCTGTCCTGATCTCTTTTGATAATCATGATATTAAATCAGACTACTCTTATGGTCTCAGTAAGCTAACACCCCAGGGTTAACTTTGTGGATTATTGGGATTTCAGAGGTTACCTGTATTTTCATTAATCTCTCTCCTTCTCTGTGTGTGTGTGTGTGTGGAGCAGGGGAAACAACTCAAAAAAATTTTTTTATACCTTCTCTGTAGTTTTGTACCTCTGTTTCCTTATTAATATCCTGGTATTGAAAACTAGTATCCTGGCACTTGTTGCTGAAGTATTTAGGATGAAGTGTTATGATGGTCTACAGATTATTTCCTAAAGAATCAGTTACTTCTACTAGAAAAGAGAGAAATGGGTGAAACAAATACGGCAGCATGTACTTGAGAGTCTAGGCAAGGTTTGTACGAAGTCTTATTGACCTATTCTTTCAATTTTTTGTAGGTGTGAAAAATTTCCTACCAAAAAGCTTTGAGTTAGGGAGAATGTATTGAAGATTTTACTCTGAGTAAGGAGGTAATATTGAGGTAGTCTTAGGTAATTATGTGAAAAAGTGACCATGAGCCACTGCTTTGCACTTTATGGTATTTTCTGTCCCTTTCAGGAAAAGAACACATATATATCCTGGTGTATTTTGTATGTAAGTGGAAGACTTTGGGCTTCTTAAGTAGTAGAGGAAGTAAGATAAGTGATATTCTTACAACTCTTTCCCAGGTAGAAAGAATAAAGTGGTAAAAGACTACTTTCTTTGTTAAAGAATATAGTTGGAAAAAAAAGTCATAGGGATTTGCTTGCTTTTAGCTTAGCTATAAGGAGATAAAACAGTTTCTCTATTCTGTTGCTCAGATGGTATTCAGTAAAACCATATGAAGTCTCTTCTGTAAATCTACATAGCTAAAGCCAGTTATTTCAAGGCAAATTAGTAGCAACTTTTAGGGCAGGTTTGGGTAGATGTTTTGGGCCAGATCATCTTTCATATGGTCCCCCTCATGTAGCTACTCTGCTCAGCCATTGTAGCACAAAAGTCATAGGCAACATGTAAATAAATGAGGTGGCATACACCAATAAAACTTTATTTATGGACACTAAAATTTGAATTTCATTTAATTTCCACATGTCAGGAGATACTACCCTTTTTTTGATTTCTTTCTTTAGCCATTTAAAAATGTAAAAACTGTTATTGGTTCTGGGCTGTATAAGAACGGCCAGTGGGCCAGATTTGGCTCAGGGGCCATAGTTTGCCAATCCCTGCTGTACGGGAAGGAGTGTGTGTGATTAGATTTGGCTTCTTACAGGACTTTAGATAAATTTAGAGAATTCCTGTGGTGTTTTATAAACGTCTTTCAAAATTCCCACAAGCTTTTTATGTCTTTGTGGCAGTGACTTTCCAATCTTAAACTCTAATGCTGAATGAAGCAAGTTAACGGAAGGAAGGAAGTAAAGATGGATGGATGGATGGGACCATTAAATTGTTAGTGAAGACAAGTGACTTGATCCTGGCATTCTTTAACTTGCTCTATGCTTTTTCCCTCCTGTTTCTATCTTGTGTCAGTGGTTGAGGTACATGATTTTAAGCAATGTAGAGTTAAAACAAATAAATATGTGAGACATAACTCTGATTATTTAATATGTTTTGATATATTTGCGTAAAATGAATATATTTAACTATTAGCTGCTCTTCAGGTTTGTGGAGTCATTTTATACTGTTTTACCCTTTCTATTAAAAATTTTTTTTTTTTAGTTTTTTTAGAAGATTTTATTTATTTATTTGACAGAGATAGACAGTGAGAGAGGGAACACAAGCGGGGGGAATGGGTGAGGGAGAAGCAGGCTTCCTGCCGAGCAGGGACCCTGATGCGGGGCTCGATCCCAGGATCCTGGGACCATGACCTGAGCCGAAGGCAGACGCTTAACGACTGAGCCACCCAGGCGCCCCTCTATTAAGAAATTTTTAAAAGATTTTATTTACCTATTTGAGAGACATGGAGAGCATGAGCAGGGGGAGGGGCAAAGGGAGAGGGACAAATAGAATCCCTGCTGAGCAGGGAGCAGCCCCATGTGGGACTGTATCCCAGGACCCTGAGATCATGACCTGAGCTAAAGTTAGACACTTAACCAACTGAGCCACCCAGGAGCCCCTATTTTACACTCTTTAGAGGAACCAGTTGTCCCACATAATTCCAGCTGGACCCAGTGAACGTACTTTAACTAGGTTTATAATTAGACACTTCCTGGAGATGTGTAACTGTGTGGTCACTGCCCCTTCCCTGGCCACAGAAGGGCTGGAGTGCTGATGGTGATTCTTTGTCTTCTTTTCACTGTGGATATGACTAGAACCCTTACTGATTAGTTTTTTTCTTCCTGTGGTATTTTCTTTGAAGTGGCCATGAGGTGGTTTCTTTATAGCTGTCATCTTAAAATTTGATTTGTTAGCTCTTTGTGTGCCCTGAGAATTGGATTTTTTTTTTCAAAGATAACAGATGATAGTGGTCACATAATTATTGAGCTGGCCTAGTAGGTGCTCAGTAAATACTTGTACATGTATTGACATTTGTCTGCATCTGAGCTCATCTGTATGGTTCTTACCATTATAGTAATCTTGCCTGGTTCTCAGTTTTAGAGTGCTTGCTGTAAGATCATCTCTCATAAAAGCACCATTGAATGGCACCTCCCACCCCCGAATCTCTATTTGTTCCTTTTCTCTTTACCAAAACTATTTTACTTTGATTTAATTTAGTTTGATTAATTTATTTAGTTTTTAAGATTTTATTTGAGAGAGAGAGTAAGAGCTGGAGGGAGGGGCAGAGGGACAAGCAGACTCCCCACTGAGCATGGAGCCTGACATGACAGTGGGGCTCCATCCCAGGCCCCTGAGATAATGACCTGAGATGAGTTCAGATGCATAACCAACTAAGCCACCCAGGTACCCCTAGATTACTTTAATTTTAAAATATGGCAGGGGGTGGTAGTGGAATTAACCTTTAACTTTTTTTTTTTTAAAGATTTTATTTATTTATTTGAGAGAGAGTGCCAGTGTGGGGGGGGAAGGGGTAGAGGGGGAGGGAGAGCTTGATGTGGGGCTTGACCCCATGACCCTGAGTCCACGACCTAAACTGAAACCAAGAGTTAGACACCCAACTGACTGAGCCACCCAAGCTCCCTAACCTTTAACTTTTTCTTCCAATTTTTCCTTCATTTACCCACAGAAAGAATTTTTTCTTCCTCTATAGCTATAAAGCAGTTCTGCCAAATGTAAAAATCAGTTTTGAAAGAGACAAAATAGTCCATAGGCACATGGAAAAGGATCAAATGAATATAGTGAAAAAAACATGGAGGAGAAATAAGAAAAAGACTGTTAGTGCTTGGCACTAAGATCTTGTCAAAGATCAAAGTGCTCAGTTGTGTGGATTCATGGGACTCAGTAAATTTGAGGGATTCCTGCCATTGCATTCCCTCAGGAGGAAACTGATGTAGAGCTTTCTCTTTCAAGCTGGTGTGTTATAAGGAAGGACAGCACTTCGTCCGTTAGCCATTGTGAATCAGACAGAAGACAGAATTCCTCTGCAGCCTATTCTGTGTTGAGTTATAGTATTTACCTACCCAAACTAAATTCACTTTCAGAGGAGACTGTGGGACCATCAGTTACAGAAACCTGTGTTGAGATCCAGCCTTACTGCTTGCTGCTCTTTTTAAATTCTTGTCTTGGCTGTCCCTCATCCCTGCCTTTCACGCTAAGGTTCTGCTGCTGTTTATTTTCTTTCTCTTTTTCTTTCTCTTTCTTTCTTTCTTTTCTTGCTTTCTTTTTCTCTTTCTCTTTCTCTTTCTCTTTCTCTTTCTCTTTCTCTCTTTCTCTTTCTCTTTCTCTCTCTCTCCCTCCTTCTTTCTTTCTTTCTTTCTTTCTTTCTCTCTCTCTCTCTCTCTCTCTCTCTCTTTTTAAAAGATTTTATTTATTTATTAGAGAGCGCACAAGCAGGGGGAGCAGCAGAGGGAGGGGAAGAAGCAGACTCCCCGCTGAGCAGGGAGCCCAACGTGGGGCTCAATCCAAGGACCCTGGGATCATGACCTGAGCTGAAGGCAGACAAAGACTTAACCAGCTGAGCCACCCAGGCACCCCATTTTCTTTTCTTCATTACATTTATCAATAGCCATATAGTAAAGTTAGTATCTCGAGAGAAGTATTTTTGAGTTCTCCTTACTCCCTAGTATGTGTTTTTGGCCCATGCTGATAAAATAGTAAAAACACCAGATTGAAATGAGAAGACTTCAGTTTTTTTGTTTGTTTTGTTTAAGATTTATTTATTTGAGAGAGAGAGAGAGAGAATATGAGCACATAAGTAGGAGGAGGGGCAGAGAAAGAGGGAGGGGGAGAGGATCTTTAGCAGACTCACTGTCCAGTGTGGAGCCCAATGTGGGGCTCGATCTCATGACCCTGAGATCATGACCTGAGCTGAAAACAAGAGTCAGATACTTAACTGACTGAGCCACCCAGGCACCCCGAAATGAGAAGACTTCAGTTTGAATCTTGGCTCTGCCACATAGTTTTGTGATCAAGGTCCAGTTTGTTAACTTTGAGCCATCCTTTTGACAAACTTACTTAAGGCCACGTGATTAAGTGACAGAACCCTGAACCACACATCTTCTGGTTCTATATCCAGTAAGATAAGGGGTGTGAAAAAGTCTCTCAGAATGCCTCCCACCCAATATAGCATGAGTAGTGCTTACAGTCATTGAATCTGAATTGGGACTTAGAGCATAAAAGGAAGAAAAGAAAAAGTGAAATTAAATGTAGTTCTGTACCGAGTTATTGATGACACAATTACTCAGCATCCATTTATTTTATTTTTCTGTTGCCTCTTGGCTGAGTTGATTGGATGCTTTGATTACTTCAGGTATGGGAGGAAGAGTTTAGCTCAAGGAGCCATCTCTAGATGGTCT